ACATATGGAAGTAATCATTACTTTGTACCAAGAATATTGACCACAGGCAAACAAAACTAAAAAAGGGGGAAGAGAGGGTAAATCGAAGGATCTAAATTGCAGGATAAGTATAGGAACAGCTGGTGACATGTTTGTCGTTTCAAGTTTCTGTAATTTACAGTTAGAGCTAGAAATGCTTGAGGTGAGCATTCTCTCTTCATTAGAAAAATGAAACGAAAATGTTATAGTGTAACGTTGTGTTTATTTATAATCCAAAGTCAATTCTACACATCCCTATACACTAAAGACGGTAACCTTCTAGAAATTAAAATGGACTTGGACTTGGTTACAACACTGCTACTACCTTAGTCAAACCCCAGTCAGACTTTCACCAGACCGACAACAATTGCATCCGATGGTCGAGAACATATCAGTTTGGAGTCAGTGGAGGCGTTCGGCGGGATGGAAGCTCCGAAATTAGACTGTCATTAAATTGACATTAAAACCTGACATCACAACTGAACAAAGCAGTTGTTGTCGCTTTACTGACGGTTTGAGGTCTAACTAGCCGTATGACTGAACTATCTCAGGTGTTCACTTTAAAGCGTATAAAGATGTTCCCCCCCACCCATCCCCTTTTTTTCACCTGCTTACCAATTCGTTTTGTTTTTACAGGTAGCACATATCTACTTTTAAAATACAGTTTTATAAACACTTCAGCTCGCTAAGTGTAAAATGACGGTAATTAATGAGTAATCAAATCGTACCTGGGTGATGATTTCTTTCCATCTCGTGTCATCCGGAGAACCGCAAGCAAAATCACACCGATGATAGGGATGAAGAGGAAGAAGAGGTAATATACGCCTCTCGTATTTTTCTTGGAATCGTTATCAAGATTTTCTGTTTACGGAAAGAAAGTACACACTCAAATAATATACACATTTATGACAAAATATGATATACATTGTGAGTCAAAAAAAAGTTTACTCCTAGAAATGGCTAATTATTTTAAAAATGATCTATGAACAGTAAATTATTAAATATCTTATGAAACACTGTTTTATCCCAAATCATTTGGTGTCATTTTTGTGTGGTATGTGTTCACGCTTGGATGAAAAGGAGGCATTGTTTGCGAAAGTGCAAAAATCGACTTGCGCCAAAGTTGCTTATGTGATGTTTAGCTAAAACAATTGGGATTTGGGTATTAATTTCGGTCATTGCAGATCCAAATAACATCCCTAACAAAACTAATCATGCCAACAATTTATCAAATATCGAATATCAAATATTAACGAAAATTTGTGCGCGTGTGTGTGCGTGTGTGATTTCTGCAAAAAGCATATGCAATGCATTTCAATTGATACATTCAATTCATTTTCTAACTCCGCTAATCCCAACATAACACATGCTGCGGGCATCACTTTGGCGCAAGACGATTTTCATCCAAGCGACTCACACGGTATAGGAACCTGACAGTTTTAATACGAGATCAATAATCACAAGAGTTTTTTTAAAAAGCCAGCAATCGACCCTTTGTCATTTTCTGATTTTGTTGGGGTATGTTTCAACAAATGAAGATGTAAAAGGATTAGTGTTATTTCAAGAACCATCTTTCAAAAATTGTGATCATTTGCATAAAGGCATGTTTTTTCACAAAACATCATGCCACCCGATAACGTCAAATACCCGACCGTTCCCGAATATGAAGTACGTTTTCACGAAAGGTCCTAAAACTCGAGAATCCGACCCGAAGCGAGTATCCGATGATTAAAGCCTTCAATATATTTCGTATGTTAAAGCAACACTTTTAAAGGATGCAATCTTTCATATATGTGTTATAACCTGTGATCTAACAAACGCTGGTAGCTTGGTAGATGCGGTTTTAAGAACCAATAGTGGCAGAGCACTAGTTATAGTATAAAGGGAGTCAGATCTTTTTGACCATTTGCCTCTCTCCCTCCGGCAAAGTCATTTTTAATAAATGTAAAAGTCCATGGCCCGTATTCTGTATCGGATTTAACTTACACTCTTGTCATAGTTAAACCAGAGTTTAATTTAACCTGACTTATGCTACACGTTTTATGTATTTTTTTTTGTAACGGTTCATTCGCGACCAGATGGCCGAATTGCAGATTATTTATAATCACAATAGATAGTATTGATACATATTGGATATTGATACATTGATATCAGTAAAAACATTTTCTTGCTATGATAAACAACAACTTCAGTGATCCACAAATTAGACAAATTGACAAAGCATATGAAGGCTACCCGATAGACCATTAGCCTAATTTGATAACCAATTTTAGAATGGGATGAAGGGCCAGGGGAATTTAAGGAAACAAAGAGCTCTTTGCAATGGCAGATCCGGGGAGGGAAGGGGAACATGGGACAGAATGTGTGTACAGTTCATATGCTTTAAAATGAACGTTACTCACCATCAGGATATAGAGTATCGCTTGCTGATGATGTACTTGTATCTATAAATCAAAGTGAGATAAATAAAAAAAAAGAATAGTAATGATAATTCCTGTTCTTGATCGTATGGTTTTTGTCAATTAAATCATGTGGTATTTCTACAATTATATTCATTTGGACTTGGTAATGGGGAATAATGCCTTACCAAAGGCCATCACAGCATCGACTTGGTAACGCACCCGATCTCCCTTTTACGAGCCCACTGCTCTCCCAACGTGACCGCTGAGCTGTTGCGCCTCTACTGCAAATGCCCTAAGCAAAGCATTTAAAAAAATCTACATTGCATCAAAAAACGATATATTAAAAATGGTAACATTTTAATGATTATTCAAGTACTTGTGCAGTACAGTACAGTCCAACGTTACAAGCAAATGTCTCATTGATAAAGAAAAAGAAAAAACCTGCATGATTTAAATTCTTTTTGTAGGCTGAAGTATATAGTTTCGGTTTGCATGTTTCGAATAATTACACATTTAATGTTTGGTTTTGAAAAAGAAGGCTCTAACCTACTATAATTATAAAAACATTAGTAGTATCAGCTCTTTATTCACGGATAAAACTGTTTCAAAAATTAAGGTTGACATTTCTTTAGATTTTTAAAAGTATAATGAAGAAAATAAAATATCTTTCCTCATTCAGTAGCACACTGTATTTATTCTTAAGTAGGGTATTCATGTGTTTATGGTGGCAGTATTATCGCCACGATGGTGTTACAAAAAATAACCCAGAATAATATACCAGTGTTTATGTTAACAATACCGGAATTTAGTGTGCATTTACTCATGAAATCAATCGCATGTGAGTGCTGAAATCATATGCATATGGCATATTTTCAGAGTGCGAGGTATGAGGTCTGGTGGCTGAATATCAACCATCCTGTTTATAAATTGCACGAGCGACGGAAGTGAGCGAGCAAACCTAGTAAAAACAGCGTTCAAGAGTGGGGGAGCTAGGGGGAGGGGGTGTTGAACAGGGCTGGTGCTGAATATTAACCATCCTATTTATGAATTGCACGAGCGCAAAAGGTGAGCTACATGTAGCCAAACAAATTAAATATTGTTCATTATGGACAAAATGTTACTTTGACATCGATTAAATTCAATCTAGCCACCTGGCTGCCCAATATTAGAACTTTAAAAACCCTCAGCTCGACAATAGAGTTTTTGAATTTAGAACATTATTATGCAGTTGGAGTACATGTTGTTTTCTATCGAGTCTTTTTTCAAATCATAATTTGTTAATTTAATTAGGATAATGATTATATTCATCCTTTCCTCCGTTTTGTCTTATTTTCCTTCAATTTTGTGTGGTACTTAAAATGCAGCCCAGGGCACGTGCTCCCTGTCACCACCATATACATCAGTGAGTAAGACACTCACGATGAACATTTTAAGTCACAAATATCCTTTGTAGATCAGATGTTGAACTAATGATGAAATATAATGAAATTGGCATTATTTGAATGTTCACTTTGCAGAAAGGGTTAAGAAAATGGTTTAAAAAGAATATGAAAGCTTACCCTAGCTGTGTTAGTGTACTGACAAAAAGGGTAAGAATACTAGCCTATGAAATAATGTGCACAATTCAACAAGGCTAATGATATTAACAGTTTTGAAGTTTTAAAGAATTTAAACAGGACCATCCTAGCAGAAGATGGCAATGCTTGTTTAGTGAAGATCATAGCTAGCGATTGAGACCAACATAATCAGCCTCGGGGGCTTTAACTTCTAGTGTTGACGGTATCATGTACTGTTGATCGCTAGAACCGTAAATATTACTTTTCAGTAGATCCAAAAGGGGAGAAACAGGGTTGAGAAAGATTTCATACATACCTTCCGTGTTCTGCGTGGTTGAAAACCATTTAGTGCCTACAAAATTCAATTTATTGTGGTATTGTATTACAGTCCTGAACTATAAATGTGATGCCTCAAAGCTTCACAACCCCCATGTTGTACAGAGTAAGACCTAATCACATCACAATAACATCGTTTAACAGCGCGTATATTAAATAGGTAATGATAATAATAATAATAACAATATTTACAAATCTGGATAGCGTTCATGTCTGGCACATTGCCGGCCGTCCTGGCGCTGCATTAGTATTACCCTGGCTTCAGCACGGCTGGGCAAATTATAAGGAATTAATTCCTGGCAGGTACCTGGCCATTTATCTCACCTGGGTGTAGTGTGGCAAATGTAACTGATTTCTTGCACAATGACACTACTGCTGCAACGGTAGGTTTGTATTTATTTTGTGCACCCTCTGTGAACTCCAAATTCATTTTAATGAATAGAAATGAATAGATAAATAGTATATCAGTTATAACTCCCCCCCCCCAACAATCTAGACATTTGTTCACATAGGCCTATATATATATGTGTGGTGTTTTTGTTTTTGTTTTGTTTTGTTTTGTTTTGTTTTGTTTTTGTTTTTGTTTTGTTTTTGTTGTTTTTTTTTTTTTTTGTTTTTTGTTTTTTTGTTTTTTTGTTTTTTTTTTCTGGGGGGGGGGGGGGGGGGGGGGGGGTTGTCGGTCGGCGTGTACATAAAGTATCACCAAGCAGTATGCATGTATGTATGTAATCATGTATATTACACACACAAACATAATGTTGATGTCATTTCTAGACAGATAGCTCCCACCTGTATGATCTCATACAAAGAAAGAGAGTAAGAGCCCAATATCTAATTTGCTGTTTTTAAAAAATGCCGATAAAATGAGTTCATGCATGGTAGCAAGTTGCTAGTGCCCTTCCTCTTACCTTTAAGCATGTCACATGTTGGCAAGGAACTATTCCAAATAGGATAATACGGCGATAGTCCTGGTACACACTGCAGTGTTCTGTTACCATTCAGACTGTATCCATCATCACACGTGAGATAGACGATGGAACCAAACCACGTGATGTTAGAACCCCATGATCCATTCATGACGTCATCCAGCTCATCGCAGAATCCAACGGAAACTTTAGAATGAGTGATTTAAATTAATATTAAATTATTGATTATCATTTAGTGTTTTTAAGACTAGGAACTAAAGAGTATAAACTGACATTATATTATGTTTAATATTAATATTCAGTGTTATGCATTTCATTTCATTTCAATGCATGATCTTATGTTAACAAAAAAAAAAAAAAAAAAAAAAAAAAAAAAAAACAGGCACTTTGCTATTGTATCATGCATGGCATGCGCATATGATATGCCACAAAAAATCCATCAAATATGTATGGACATACATGTGTTAGCAGACTAACCATCATAAACCAATGAGTTGATAACTCGTTGAGTATCCTGTGTAGGTTGGTTGCATGTTGCAGGGGTTATGTCGGATAGGTTAACTTCATCAGCGAAAGAACAGGAGCATTGTTTTCCATTCATTATAGCGAGAGCCTTTCTTGAGAACACTCTACATGAGGATACACACTGTGAGGTTGATTCAAAGATGAATCCATTTTGTTGTGGAAGATCTTCAAGGTCATAGCAACCCTTATATCCTGGTTCTGTATAATTGAAAAAGAAATACATTTCTCAGAAACAGAACATCAACAAGGTGCTTCATTCATATCATTTGAGTCTTGCATTGACAACTTTTGAATATGCCATTTCGTATTCAGTATATCATTTCCCTCTTTCATTTGAATTTCATACGCTTTTTAATATGTCTGTTGGTTTAAAACTGCTGAATTCAAGTAGCTGAGTATACATGTATGTTATAAAACGACTATACAGTCGTTTTGTAAAATGTATAGAATAATCTGCCTCACCATAGCACTCAACTTTGACGGCATCAGCGGAGGAGCAGTTTCCGGAAGACCATGAACAATCCTCTAATCGGAACGTGTCTGTGAACATGAGGGTATAGAAAAATTCTGTTTTCATTTGGCAATGTACATGTATTTCATTCTTCGTAAATGCAATTATGGTAAACCGCCTTTGATACAATAAAAGAATTTCCTGTGCACTCTTGTATGAACGGATTCAACAAGCGTACAATAAATTCTTAAATATCAACAACAATATAGTAGAGATTGTCTATTAAGAAGAGACGTTGTACGTCTATATTTAAACTGTATGGCATACAGATAACCTCGCGTAAAGTTGATCTTCTCGGGACTGAGTGAAATGCGTTGACTTACGAAATATTTGACTTGTGTGTAAGTCGTAGAAAATTTGACTTACGCATATGTACATGTACATGTACATGTATTGTCCTAAGCCTAACATAACTTGGGAACGCCGTGCCGGGACATATGATGGCTGTCGGCTCAACTGGGACTAGTGTTTATCTCAAGCCACGTGGTATTTGAATTGTGCAGACATCCAGAAAATAAAAAGAAACCTTCACATACACGATGTATGACTTCACAACTTTGGAGATTAATAAGAACAAGGGAAACGCTCTTGGTGGTCTCACCTGCATTACGCAATTTGATATGATTTTTATCTTTTTTTTTACCTTACCCTCAAGGGGGGGTGCAAATTTTTAAATTTTCGAGGGCCAAAAAAAAAAGGTGCTCACTACCCCCCCCCCCCCCCCCCCCCCCCAACTGAGCGACTTTTCGTCCGGCGCGATTTTTAAATTTTTCGGGAGCAAAAAAAAAAAAAAAGTTGGGCCCCCTCCCCTAAGAAATCCTGGATCCGCGTCTGGGGTGACCCATTAACCGGGCCCCCAAATATGAAATCCTCTGAATGTAATCAGCATTTTGAAGTGAATATTGACTAAGAATCATCAGAAGAATTATTTACTATCATTTGTACCAAGATTGATAACTGTCATATTGTCTCTTGGTGGTCTCACCTGCATTACGCAATTTGATATGATTTTTATCTTTTTTTTTTTACCTTACCCTCAAGGGGGGGTGCAAATTTTTAAATTTTCGAGGGCCAAAAAAAAAGGTGCTCACTACCCCCCCCCCCCCCCCCCCCCCCCCCCCCCCCCCCCCCCCCCCCCCCCCCCCCCCAACTGAGCGACTTTTCGTCCGGCGCGATTTTTAAATTTTTCGGGAGCAAAAAAAAAAAAAAAGTTGGGCCCCCTCCCCTAAGAAATCCTGGATCCGCGTCTGGGGTGACCCATTAACCGGGCCCCCAAATATGAAATCCTCTGAATGTAATCAGCATTTTGAAGTGAATATTGACTAAGAATCATCAGAAGAATTATTTACTATCATTTGTACCAAGATTGATAACTGTCATGGAATATGAACAAATAACAGAATTTATTTATTAATTCTCATATTAAGTTGTAAAACATATCTAAGTCTACTGACCTTAAACGACCTTTGACCTTGTCTTTGTGACCTGGAATTTGTGTCATATGATTTGTGATACTTGATAACCCTTGGGTTAAAGTTTCATGGAATTTGAACAAACAATTCTGAAGTTGTGCTGAAAATTCAAAATCTTAATGTTGATTCCACAACAAAGACTTAAGTTTGCAGACCTGAAATGACCTTTGACCTTTACTTCATGACCTGAAATTCTACTCACATGATAGGGGTTACTTGATAACTCTTTAATCTAAGTTTCATTGAATACGTAAGTACTTATACATTCAAAATTATATTAAAAATCCAAAAAATTTAACCTCAGGTTAAGTTTTTGATGATGCCACAACATAGTCTAAGTTTGTTGACCTGAAATGACCTTTGACCTTGACTTTGTGACCTGAAATTCCCATCACATGATTGGAGATACTTGATAACCCTTTAGGCCAAGTTTCATTGAAAAAGAACTTACACTTTCAAAATTCAACAACTTAACCTTAGGTTAATTTTTGATGTTGACGCTGCCGCCGTCACCGGAAAATCGGCGCCTATGTCTCGCTTTTTGCTACGCAGGTGAGACAAAAATGCCTCATGCAACACGCTCATTACATGACTGTCATGACAGAGTCAACTCACACAAACATTTTTTTGTTGCTCCATGGCTTTACTTGGCCTTCAAAAAAGAATGACGATGCATGCGCACATTGTTTACAATCCGTGTACAGCTTATCGCCGATGGAAAATAAAGCATTGTGATTGGCCAACTTTCTCTCTGGACTGCTTTGTATTAACTGGATATCGTTTACTATAAAGTGGAGAAAAAACATGGGTGTGTCAAATTCATGGGGTTCTGATTGGCAGAGAGTATAAGACAAACGCCCTTTGATCTCATTGATAACTGTTGCAACTAAGCAAGATGGAGTTGCTTGCTTGTTTTGACTGGCATAAATCGTGGACTCTGGATTTGTTTCTCTTTCCATTCTCCTTTCTGATATATACGAGAGAGAGGGAGAGAGAAGAACGGAGGAGCACGCGCCAGCAAGTCTGGAATACAGGGTAAAGGACGTATTGTATAAACAAAATCGGTGCGTGGCACGTGCTTTGATAGTGATTGATTTTGTTCGACTTTGGAGAAGTGAATTTAGTGTTTCCATTGGAACAGTCCAGGGAATTCGATAGACTTATGCCAATATTCGACTTACAAAATGCGACTAACACAGAGATTTAACCCACGTCAGTCTATGACGAATAATTGGGACTTTTTTTTCAGTTATTCAACATATATGAGGTCGACTTACGCGAGGTTATCTGTATTAATGTGTTTATATTATATATCAGTACAGTATATATAGTTTTCTAGTATTCTAGTTGCAAACCGAACCCAATCAGTATGTGCTACTGGTAATTTTTTTTATACACCCATACAAAAAAAAAAAAAACCTAGATGGACCTTCGACTGCACGCAGTCGAAAATGATGCCTCCGCCGTGGAGCAGTTTTACAAACCAAAACAGAAGCAATTTTGAAAATTCAAGTTTGATTGTAATCCACTAAAAGATTCTCAGAATAATGTGATTACAAGTTTTTTTTCATATACAGGTTTGACCCTTTAATCTTTGACCTCATGAACCTAAACTCTAATCATTTCATTAGCAAGATACATGTTTTGAGTTTGATAGTAATCCATCCCTTCGGTTCTATTGATAATACGTTCACAAGCTATTTTCGCATACATAATGAGCTCCATATCCTTTGACATTTGACCTCGTGACCCCAAAATCTACTGAATTCATTGGCTCTGCAAGATACATACATGACCCAAGTTTAGAGGGAATCCATCAATCCATCTTTGAGATAGCGGGATCACAAGCTTTTTTTGCATACATAATGAGCCCTGTGACCTTTGACCTTGGATCTCGTGACCCCAAAATCTACTGAATTCATTGGCTCTGCAAGATACAAACATGACCCAAGTTTAGAGGGAATCCATCAATCCATCTTTGAGATAACAGGATCACAAGCTTTTTTTTGCATACATAATGAGCCCTTTGACCTTGGATCTCATGACCCCAAAATCTACTGAATTCATTGGCTCTGCAAGATACATACATGCCCCAAGTTTGGCGGGAATCCATCAATTGGTTCTTGAGATAACGCGATCACGAGAACGGGACGTACGTACGTACGGACGGACGGACAACCCAAAAACATAATGCCTCCAGCTACTTTGTAGCGGAGGCATAAAAAGGATGGACTAAATATAATTATGAACATAACTGATTCATGCTAAAGCGGAGTGATTGGACCATCAACAAGAAAGAGGGCGCATGACCTTTAGAGATATTCTGCAGGTTCGGGAGACTCGAGGGCTGACTACTTTGTGGCTTTTGGTCTCATGTTTTGGTTCTCGGTCCAGTGTTACCTGAGATGTTCCAATTTTCCACTCAAGTTTGACAATTTCATTGTGTACTCATTAAAGTGAGTACAAAAAAATGTAATGTTTCTCATATGAAAACATCATCGATGGAGGATAAAGGAACTTGATTAGAGGGGACACTAACGTTTTTTAATGAAACTTTGGAAATTTGAAATATAGGGCTGCAAGCCTTTAACTCCATCCCTGCAAAAGCTTTTGCCAATTCTCCCCTCTACTACAAAACTTTCACGGAACTGTTAATCTTTAATTTGTTACTAATGAAGTTAAATTGTCATAGATAGGGCATGATGTAATGAAAGTACTCACAGTCATTACAGATGGGAGCCTTGATGCAACCTTGCCCAGCTGAAATACAGTCCTCAGTCCGGTAGGAAACCTTTCTAACAGCAGGATAGCCGAGCTCTCCACAGACGACCTCCGTCACCCTTTCATCAAAGTTGTCTTTGCATACTCTCCTCCAGTCATCCAATTGAGTACAAAGCTCAAGGAAACCCTTCCCTGGTGAGTTACCGCCAACAATACGTGCCACATTTGCGTATCCTTTTGAAGAGAGTTACAGCAAAATAAAGAAGTCAGTGAAATAACCCAAACATGTTTTGTGGTAAGAGAAATTGAGAGTAATGATAGATAACGTACATTTTAAAACGCTTTTTTGTTGAAGAACCGGTGGGGATAAAGAGTTTCTCTACCGTTGACCCACATTAAATTATTCACAACCAAATATAAAAAAACATGTATTTCTATTTATTCTGCAGGAAGGAAGTGAGAAGAAACCTGATTTACTTCTAGACCTTTAATCATCCTTTTTTCTTCTTTTGAAATGCATACATTAATTTATGGCATGTACATTTTTAGGCATTGTTTCGTTTATATTCAAAATCTTATATAAAATGAAGTAACTTTATGCTCAAACTATCTTGATTTAAACTTAATGTTTATATCTCAAATAAGAGCAAAGAAGAGCATCTTCTTTAGCAGGACTTGGGTTCAGTCACAATGAAAAAATGAATTCATGACACATGCTCTGCGGACGATTGCTCCGCCGACATTTTACTCCTCAAAACTTGACAATTGCTCCGCGACATTTGCTCTGACGTCAAATGCTCTGCAGACATTTGCTTGAACGACAATTGCTCTGTCGACAGTTGCTCCGATGACAATTTCTCCGCATGAAGCGATAAATGCTCCGGTGACAATTGCTTTGCATGAAGCGACACTAAGTTTTGCTCCGGTGACATTTGCTCTGACAACATTTGCTCCGCCAAAAAAACACACCTTAAAACTAGTATAATGCTTTATTTGCAGAAGGTACATGTATACCTACAATGTATGCTGCATGTGCTTGCTTGCATTGAGGTCATTTCAGGTCTTACATATTGATGAGCTGTTTGAAATTAACTAGGATGTATGTGCGTATTTGGGAACGTGGCTTGCTACTCTACTTTTGCTTTCTTCCCCTGACAAGTAATTATTGCTTAGTGTACATTATTTGGGACGTACAGTGATAGATGAAAAGTTATTTCAGCCTGATTTCAGCATATTCGAAATGACCTATAGGTAACTCCTTTTTCTCCCACATCATCGACATTCATTGTTTCATGAAATGCATTCAGAAATCAAAACAAACTAAAAGAAACAAAGAAAATAACCCATGAAAAAAAATATTGTTGGCAAAGCATTTGTCGTAGGAACATTGTCTCTCACCGGGCAATTTTCTTTTTTTGAGGACCAAATGTTGTCGGAGCAATTGTCGGAGGAGCAAGTGGAATTCGGGGAGCATTTATCGCTTCATGTGGAGTAATTGTTGGCGGAAAAATTGTCAGTGGAGCATTTGTCGGCAGAGCAAGTGTCGTAGGAGCAAATGTCGGCTGAGCAATTGTCGCATTTTGCACAGTAATTGTTGGCGGAGCATGTGTCGCCACAGTCGGGTTACCACAAAAATACCAGAATTTGTGAAATACTGCATAAGAAATACATGTATACGGTATACTTGCATAATTATTTTGATTGAAGCAGAACATTGTGCAGAAATGTTACCTTCCCTTTTCACTGCCAAAAACAAAAGCTTATCCCTTGCTTTGATTAGGACATCTACTGCATTGTCTCGAAACAGTTCTGCTTAAAATTACAATTACCGGTACTTGAATGATCGTAGCAGGATACTGTGACGTTAAACCCCCTCCTAGTCCCTGATTGTAAGGATATAAATGTGATCTGCAACTTATTTCCTTTGGCCAAGAATGAAGGGAACTCCATTTCTTCCCCTGTGTATTGCATAGATCTCTGCTTATCCACTATGTCAGCCACGTACAGGGTATCATCTGTCTCTATGTTGAAGTCAATGAAGGTAACAAGAACCCTGTGATCTTTAGGAGCCGTGATAAACCACTTCTTCTTTACATCATTCCGATAATTTGAAGGGTAGTTGGGAGATGTAAGCGAGACGCCGCCTCTGCAGTTTATATTTATTTCTAAAGCAGAATGATAAGAACAGATTAGAACTCAATGAAATTAAACAAATTTAAGATTAACTCAACCCATATTAGAATATTTAAGACATTTATTGATAAAAATCAATGAAGTACAGTAAGAGAGAATTATGAATAAGAAGAAGAATTTGGAGCGAGTAGAAATTTACTTGTAGAAGAGAAAAGAAAAAGCAGCAAGATAAATTGAACAGGAAAACAATGTAGACAAAAATCTTCCACATTTAAAATTCATGTACTCACAAATTATAATATAATACCCCTATTGACAATCTAAAGCAAATTCAGAAATACTAATAAATGTATCCGAAACAGAATAAAATGACTTCATCCTGTTACAAGGAGAGGGCCAAAATCAACTTTGGCAGAAATAAAAAAATGTACAAGTGTTGAACAAACATACATTTTCTACAAGGGAAACGCTCTCGGCGGTCTCGCCTGCACTACGCAATTTCATATGATGAAAAATTGAGGTTAGGACATTTTTCATAGGCAGGGTGGCCCATCACAGAGATGCCAACTTTTGGAAAACAGAAATAGGGAGGATTTGTAACCGACACCAAATAATGTGCGCGTAGCGCACATCCCGAACGCGTAGCGCACGACCCATGCGGCTGGGGTCCAGGGCCCACCTTAGGGCCCTGGAAGCTCTGGGGTTCTACATGTAGATGCTCTATGGTGCAATCTGAACCTTATTTTGCAGCATTTTACATGTGTATTTAGTTAAATAATTCCCACTTTTTTTTAAAATAACATACAAATTGTACAAAATGCATGATGAATTCCTTTCAGACTTCCGAATACACGGGTACTTGATACTGTATTCGGTCTTATACTTCTGAGACCATTTCTTGGTCTTCTTTTGCTGATTTTCCGCCATTTGGATTCTGTGTCAATATCCACGCATTAGTTACGCGATCCATATGCTGAAACAATCTTTCGCTGCTCTTAATTTGTCTTTTAACATAGTGGAATTACTACATGCTAAAGTTAACAGACGATACCGAATAAGAACTTGTACTTTCAAAATGATATTAAAAATTCAAAAATTTAACCTCAAACTACAGACTACACGCTTAGATCTAGTTTTATCGTCAGACCTTATTCAGCCACCTTTGTTATTACTATTAAGTTTCATTGAATAAGATCTTATACTTTCAAAATGATATTAAAAATTAATGCCACAACATAGTTTGTTGACCTGAAATGACCTTTGACCTTGACTTTGTGCCCTGAAATTCTCTTCACATCATTGGGGATACTTGATAACCCTGTAGCATATCTCCTTGATTATAGTTCTTGCTGTGCGTTGCATCAGCACGAGTTTGACCTAATGTCTTGCCTTGAATTGTTGTTTCTGGAAAATCCTTTTGCATAAATAATTCAATTGTGCTTAGGTGTAGTTAGAGAAAGTTTGTATTTTATAATGAAATAGTTGTCTTTGTGCCTATCCTCCAGTTTTTTTGATAAACTCTAATTCTTTCACTTTGAAGAAACACAAAATCGACAACAGAGACATTTTCGTTTACGTTCGCCTCTTCCATAGATGCGCGTTCTCGCTCGTAGACCATAGGGCGAGCCGATTTTAACGCTCGTCTTGTACTCCACATGTTGTGACTACCTGAAACTTATCTAAGAAATAAGCATTATATTTTTAGGAAATAAATTTGTTAGTTCCCACACTGGGAGTTGGGTCATTGTTTAATATTTTGATAAAAAAGGGTTAATATTATTGCAATAAAATCGTCCAATTAAATCGCGTAATTAATCCACTTACGTTGCTAAGACTATAAACTCATCTGATTGGCCCATCAGATTGACAAAATGACAGATTATCGCTAGTCCGCCAATCAGAAAAGTTGTATTAACCGGCTTTGGTACTGCGTTTTTGCGAGTCACGTGTACATACAGGCGCTTTGTTTGCCGTAATCATGTCTGTCGGTGCAAAATCTTATCGAAATTCGTCAAAAAATCGATGTTTTGCTCATTGCTCTAGTGTTTCCGAAGATCTCAAACCTTTCACGACTACACGGTGGAACACATTTGTAAGCAGTGTGAATATTTGGAAAGATTTAGTGGGGTATCAGGCTGATATAGCGAGAGCCTTTTTACGCGAAGTTGGACCTGATGCACTGGTCGATACTGCTGTAGGCTTACCAGTACCAGAAAGTGGTGGATATCACCCGACGTGCTATCGCTATTTCACAGATTCATCCAAGCAAGAGAGAGGGAAACTCAACAAAGACAAACAAACAACAGACGCTGCATCATGTCAAACTTTAGGTAAGCCATACATTTAACTTAACTTGCGCGAATTCTTTTCATTCAAAATTTTGTTCACAACTGTGAGTGTGAGTGTGACCATTTTTGACCCGTGACTCCTGCGTGGAGAAACCCTACTCTACAGACTAACACATCAAAATTCATTATTATTTTCGTTCAATGTACTTACCTTGTTAGGCGCCTTGAGCATCTCTTGGGGTGGATATGTGCGCATTATAAATGTTGTTATTATTATTATTATTATTATCTAAAACTTCCACAGTTGCTCAAATAACGGTCATGATTTAAAAGTCGTTATCTTTCTTATCTGTTTCGTGTCAATTTTAAATCTTTTTTTTTTAATAGTAGACTATATTTCCGAGGCTCAGGCCTAGGCTAGACCTCTACACTTTTTCACAGTCACTGCCACTGGTTTGAACAAGAAGACGGTCTAGATTTTAGAGTATCTCCACGCCGGAGTTACGGGTCAAAAATGTTCACAGTTGTAAACAAGCACAGAGCTAGGTCTAATTTAGTCTTGCACTTAATTTGCAGCTAAAAATAAATCGATTCTAGACCTAGGCCTATAACAAAAAGTGTTCAATAGCCTAGAAATCTAGACTTAGTTTTCAGCTATAACTGGGCTTGGCCATTTTTTTTTTTTTTTGGGGGGGGGGGGGCAATTGTAACTTTCGATTGATTTGTTATTAGTCTAGGTCTATAGCACTGAATACTTTGAACACCTTAACATTTTATTTGTGATTAAATTTAAATGGGATGTTCACATGCAAATGCATTATAAATATAATTTCTTAGTTTTCTGACGGCTTTTGTCTAAAAAGCCGTCAGTCAGCGAAGCTATGGCAAATTTTTTTGGGGGGCAATTTTTAACCTTTGATTGCTTTGTATTTGAACACATTAAAATTTTATTTGCGCTTAAATTTAAATCATAAATGGGATGTTCACATACAAATGCATTATAATACAATGTCTTAGTTTTCTGACGGCTTTTGTCTAAAAAGCCGTCAGACAGCGAAGCTATGGCCATTTTTTTTTAATTTTTTTTTTTTTTTTTTTTTTTGGGGGGGGGGGGCAATTTTAACCTTCAATTTAACCTTTGATTGCTTCGTAGCACTACTTCGAACACCTTAACATTTTATTTGTGCTTAAATTTAAATGGGATGTTCAAATACAAATGATTATAATATAATGTCTTAGTTTTCTGACGGCTTTTGTCTAAAAAGCCGTCAGACAGCGAAGCTATGGCCATTTTTTTTTAATTTTTTTTTTTTTTGGGGGGGGGGGCAATTTTAACCTTCAATTTAACCTTTGCTTCGTAGCACTACTTCGAACACCTTAACATTTTATTTGTGCTTAAATTTAAATGGGATGTTCAAATACAAATGATTATAATATAATGTCTTAGTTTTCTGACGGCTTTTGTCTAAAAAGCCGTCAGACAGCGAAGCTATGGCCAATTTTTTTTTGTGGCAATTTTAACCTTTGATTACTTTGAACACATTACAATTTTAATTGTGCTTAAATTTAAATGGGATGTTCACATACAAATGCATTATAATATAATGTCTTAGTGTCTAATTTCTTTCTCCTTGTGCTTAACTCTGTCCAATACAGCCTGTTTTTTTAACTTTACAAGTACAGTTTTGAATACAGCTGATATTTGTTAAATCAATAAATTATATTTTTACTGTTATGACTATGAATTTTTATTTAACCTGCTTGCATAATTGTTCAAACATTATTTGAATTGTGAAAATCACCCATTTCTCTCAATTTTCATTTATTTGTACAGAATTGGAGCCTTCTACGTCAAGTGCAGGCGGTCAAGCTCCAGGTCCGTCCTCAGCCTCAGCAATAAGACGCTTACGGTCAAACTCCAGTGTTGCTGGTGCTTCAAAGCAGCCCTCTGTCTCTGCCCACATTCTACCAAAGATTTGCATCATCTGTCGACAAAATAAAACTCATAAGGACTCTGAGGGGAAGAAAAAGAAGGAACCATTAATGCTGTGTCAACAGCCAGATGGTGGAAAAGTAGCAACAGCTGCTAAAGACAAGAAGGACGACCACATTCTTCTTCAGATCCAGGAAAGAGACTGTGTAGCAATAGAGGTCAGGTATCATCGCAGTTGTTTCAGGAGCTATACTGTCTACCAATCAAGGAAAAGTGTTGAGCCCATCAAGGAGCAGAAGTATGGAAAGGCATTCCTTACATTTTGCAGTTATGTTGTAGACAAGAAGATCATACAAGAGAAGCAAATATATAGAATGACAGCACTGAGAAGATTGTTTGTAAAAGCTGTTAAAGATGTTGAGTCTAAAGATGCATCAAATTACAAGACCTACAGCCTAAAACAACGCCTGAAACGAAAGTATCCACAACTCTGCTTTCTTCAGCCTAAGAAGAGGTATGCAAGTGAAATGGTGTATGTCGAGACGCTATCAACTGAAGACCTTGTGCCAGGAGCAGTTGGTTCTGAAGGAGAAGAAACAGACACCACCACTGATACAGACGCCCTATCTGATACTGACACAGACATCACAGACGTTGATGAAAGCATAGAACCTCCAACGAAGCGACAAAAGGGCGGGAATGGTAGACGATCCAAACCTCCAATGGCCTCACTTCGAGATCGCTACGCCTCTGCACTGGACCTAAAGGACGATGTCATGCAGACCAGGACCAGTCTACCATGGCCTCCAACATCATCTGATTTAACATTGGATTCTGCACGCACAATAGTATCCACCAAGCTGTACAATTTTCTAGCATGGGTTGTAGGTGCTTCTGAGGATCCAGAAGAAGAGGAGAAAGTCAAGATAGGAGCAGCAGAAGATCGTCGTATCCTTACAATTTGTCAAGATATTATCTACATGGCTACAAAGGGGAGGAAGATGATGCCCAAGCATACATCTCTATCAATGGCAATGCGTCATTTGAGTGGTTCATCACAGCTGATTGGGCTACTTAACGGTTTTGGATATTGTGTGTCGCACACTAATGTTTTGGAGCATGATACGGCTCTAGGGCTGCAGGAGATAGAGAAAGGTTCAAGTAAGCTTCCGTCCAGTCTGGAAAAGTCATCCTACACTACTTTAGTCTGGGACAATAACGACTTCGGGGAAAGAACACTTTCAGGAAAAGGGACGACACATAATACCAATGGGATAGCTGTACAACATGCACATCTTGCTGCTGTAATCCCTCAAGCTTTACCAGCTCAGAGTATGAAGAAGACAAGACAACGATCTTTGCCTGCACCTGCTACAATACTGGTGAGATTCACTGGCCAGAGGAAGTCATCGCCAGAGGCATTTGATGATTCTGTGGCGCTTGAGATGAGTCAGTACGATGATGTTCTACATTCTAACAAAGAAAAGGATGCAGCCTTCTATGTTGCAAAATCGTCACAGGAACGACTACTGCCATCTTGGACTGGATTTAATCAACTGCTTTCGTCCAATATCCCTCCTAAGGCAACAATAGCTTACTTGCCAGTGATAGATGCAAGCCCAACAGATTTTAACACCGTCCATACAGTACTACACCGAAGTCTGGAGATAGCAGATCAGTTGGCACTTCCAGCCATTGTGATAGTG